ATTATTTTAAATTGAAGTTCTAAAATTTCATTTAAAAAATAGGGGAGGGGGGGGTGTCTTTCCAGAACAGAACCAACTGAAATGCAACACAATATATAAAAGACAAAAATATTACTTCTGAAATCCAGGAACTGCACATATAAATAAGCTATGCTAAAGACTTTTTTCCTGTTTAAAGATTGAACATCTTTCAAATCTAACAAAAAAGAGAGAAGGAGATCTAGACTGGAAAATCTCTCCCATTCACATAGTTTTTGCCAAATTAATTTTATAGTGTGTATATTTTCTGGCTACTGTCTAGTCCTGTATGAAGGTCCCCTAACTGATAAATTACACGCCTAGTATATGCTACGCCTGTTTAACCCTCATTTACAGAATAAACCAGAAACGCTTGGGTTCATACAACCCAAAACTATGATTAACAACCATACTAATCATAGTACATAATAAGCTGAGATGAAATCAAACAATATGTTTGTTAAACTGGCAGCTTAAACCGAAGATGCTTGAAAATATAAATCAGAAATACTTGAAACTTGCTGATAAACAAAGCAATACAATTTAAATAATCCCTCAATGAGTTCGGGACGCCTCCCTAATTTAAAAGCACTATATTCCAACTAATCAGGGTGTTTTGTGTGTCTGTTTGTGTGTTTCAATACAATGAGATCAAACAACTGGAGAAAGCCAAAAAAGGAAGTAATAAAAAGAACCCAAGAAAGAAAGTAATGAAAAAAAATATATTAATGAGGTCACATTTCCTTGAGAATAATTATTTAGTGGTCTAGTACTCAAACAGGGTAGCATCTCTTTCTCTCAGATCAGAAGATTCCTAGAATCTTACCTCGCAAACAGCCTTCTCCTTCAAGAGCTTCAAATTTCTTCCTAGGAGGTCTGTCACAACAAATGGCAAGGAGATTTTGTCATCCTCATATTCTGAAATAAAAAATAATATAAAGCCACTAGGGACCTTCAAAAGAACGACTCCAAAAAATATCTTTTGCAAACCACAGAAGAATAAAGAGAGGGAAGCAAAAGCAGGAGAAGTGAATGTATTGGGACAGGGTGCTTCCAAGAGAATGCATTCAAAGCATTCTGCCTCCCCTTTGATTATCTAAGGTTAATGCGATTATTATTCCAAAGCATCTGATACCCACTGGGAAACCTTTTCTTTTTTCAAATCTGTCACATGAGATTTGTTTTCATATTTTGTAAATACCAATTCCATTTATTAATATTCTTGCTTTGGATAATTTATTAATAAATGTATAAAATTTATATGCTGCCTCAATCAAAGTAAAATGCCCTATCACTAGCGTACAAGACAAATTTACACGGTATCAGTAATTTATGTTTTGAGTATTTTTGAACAGGCAAAGTGTTTGCACTGAAAAATAGAACTGACTGACTTCAACATGCAGTTGTCTACCTGACTGGCTTCATAATCAAAAATATTTATTTTTGTCTTCTGAATTAGTTCTGGCAGGGTACCACGAACAAATATGCAAAAGAACACACTTTCTGAATGTATTCTGAAAAACAAGGCAGCATTAATCTTTCCTACTTTCTCATTTTTAAAACACTTCATAAACTATACTGTATTGAAGAATTTGTCACTGCAAACAATGATATTTAAAAAGCAAAACTTACTGGTTATATGTGAAAAAAACCTGTTCCACAAATCCATCTGAATATATACCAGTTATTATTATTAAATTTATAAAACCAAATCAGACACAGTCAATGTATCACTTTGGATTTCTGCATATTCTGATTATATACTAACGATAAAAGGCAAAAATGAATACATCAAGTATTTAAATATATAGCAGGGTTAACAATGCACAGGCTGAAATTTCANGGGGGTAGCTCGTTAAAGTAAATGCTCATCTTATTCTTTAAAAAGAACTGTGCGGTTCTTCACTAGGGAGCATTTTTTTCATAAATCAGAGTGGATTCTGTCTGTCTCTCTCTCTCTCATCTATCTCTCGAACTGGAACCATGAGACTCTCTTACTCTCCTGAATAATTAAGTTTTACTCTCCACAGTTAAATACACATGTATGTTACTCTCTTAAATATAAGCTATTTTGAGAATATATGTTAAAAGACAACATAAAATGTAAATAGAAGCATCCATTAGGGATGATCTCAAATCTGCAAAAAGCCATATCTCTTCTCTTAATTATACGATCTTGGACTGTAAAAATATATTAATTCTTAAACATTCCTATTTTAATAAGGTGTCTTCCAGAAGTAGAATATAACTCCTAGAACCCCCGTTTACTAATGCAATGAACATTACAAATATGACACAAGAGGAAAGTGGTCTAACAATTCTGGGGGAGGTATGTTGGGAAAAGTCTGGTCTAGAAAACTCTCAATTTGCACTATTTTTATTTATACCATGTGACATCCTTAGGGAGTCCATTTCCACCCCCTTTCAGACAGACCGACAGCAGTTTGCCTCATACCCACTCTGTAGTCAAAAGTATTGAAAAACAAATAATTACAGAAATGGGACAATTTTGTGAATGGTAAGGGCCTTTATTATTATTTAAGGATGAATTTTTAAAAATCTGGGTTGCATTAGAGCTATTTCAAGCTATGTTGATGCTCAAAGGACAGGTAAATTTGCAAGTCAATACTCAGCGCTCTGGTTGAAGGTGCTTGTATAGTGAATAATAGCCAAAAATAATTTAAGTATGTTAAATTTATACCCCATTATTTTTTTAAAAAATCTGAAATATCCTCAAATCAGGCCTGGAGAACAGCGTCTGCATTTTTTTAATGAGCCAATCAGCAATACTATAAAAGTGATGTTCTCAAATGAGGTATCATTAAACAAATTATCATATTCCTACCTCCAAGATGACAATGTCATAGTCACTGAAGGAACAAAACTGCTTGGACCATGAAGCATCATTTCGAATCACTTCATTAATAACATATTCAAAATCCAAAGTCAGCTGCTCCACTGTTAAATATTGGCCCTAGAAAAAGCAGAAAGATAGAGGGAAGAATCTGTTCCGTACTTTCTGGCACAACCTGCTCCTTAAATTAAAGCATTTAATTTTCAGAAAGTCATACAAACAAATATAACTGCTCCTCTGTTTTCGCCTCTAACATTGAATCAATACTCTCTATCCCAATTCATTTTTTCCTATCAACCAGATATCTTGTGCAAAATCTCCATAATCTACTAGCCAGAAAAATCTGACATACCCGTGTAATATCAGACTACAATCTTGAATGTACATTAATTTCGCAATTTCAGGCAAAACCCACTCAGGGCTTAACATTCTGCTTAAAATTTAGCATGCTATTAAGGCAACAGTTGCCTAAATATTATATTATAGCCAATATTTTTCTGCACATTGATTGATTCGCTTTTCACATACAGAATGTCTCCTCTCTGATCTGGACAGAATCGGCCTCAAAAATTATTTTAAATTGAAGTTCTAAAATTTCATTTAAAAAATAGGGGAGGGGGGGGTGTCTTTCCAGAACAGAATCAACTGAAATGCAACACAATATATAAAAGACAAAAATATTACTTCTGAAATCCAGGAACTGCACATATAAATAAGCTATGCTAAAGACTTTTTTCCTGTTTAAAGACTGAACATCTTTCAAATCTAACAGAAAAGAGAGAAGAAGATCTAGACTGGAAAATAGCAATAGCAATAGCAGTTAAGACTTATATACCGCTTCA